ATTTACGGGTGTAGAGGTTGAACTTAATGGTAGCATGTGTGCAAGAGGGGACTGTGAATGCTGGACTGATTGATGGCACAGTGGTTACAAGCACTTAAGAGTACTTGCTGTTCTTCCAGAGGATTCAGCTTTGGTTCCTAACACCCATGTGATGGCTTATACCCACCTTTAACTCCAGTCCCAGGGGATTCAACCCCTCTTCAGGCACTAGACTCACAAATGGTGCTCATTCATAAAGGTAAGGCAAAACACCTATACACACAGAGTTAAAAAGAAAGAAAGAGAGAGAAAGATAAAGATAACTAGAAGGTCTTGGTTAATTGGGAGTTACCAGTGCCAAAAAAATGCTGGTGAGCCTTGCTTGAGTAGAGAACATAAGTTCAGGAAAAATTTCAGTTCTGCTTTGTTTTTGCTGGTAGACCTGTAGTGTTAGCTCAGTTCTGAGTGCCACATTTAACAGGTCTGGGTGAGGTGACACATGTCTTTAATCCCAACACACAGAGGCAGAGGCAGGCAGATTTCTGTGAGTCTGAGGCTAGCCTGCTCTACTGAGTGAGTTCCAGAACAGCCAGTGCTACATAGGGAGACCACCAGTTGATAGGCACTTCATGAAGGTAGGGTTCAGCCCAACAGAATTTTATTTTCTTGGGTGGGGCCAAATATGAGCAGATTACAATAATCTTTATGTACTGGAGGATGTATTTAAATTGGAAGCGTAATGGTTTAGCATGCATAAAACCCTGGGTTCAGACTCCAGCACTGCATGAACTGGACATGATGACTGTATGCCTGTAATCCCAGCACTTAAGATATAGAGGCAGAAGGATGAGATATTCAGTGGTATCCTAAGCAACATATTGAGTCTGAGGCAAACCAAGAAATGAAAAAAGTAAAAGAAGAAACCACTTATGTTTGTACACTAAAAAATAATAATAATAATAATAATACAAAAAAATTAAAATGAACTACAAAAAGAAATTGCTTTCTAAAATATGGATGGTTTCAAGGTAATATGGATTGCATGATAGGGTGAACTTTTTATTATTGGAAATGCTTACCATACAAAAAGAACAGTCACATATGTAGCAGGGAGTCTGGAGAAGAGAGAGGTAAAACAGAGCCTGATACATAGTAAGCATTCAGTGCCTGTCTGAGTCCTTCAATATTAAAAAAAATACAGGTTGATTGATTAATTGAATGATTGCTGAGGATGGAACCCAAGCCTTCCTTGGGCATGCTAGTAAAGCACTGCATCCCAAAGCTACATCCTTAGCCCTCCAAATCTGAATTTTAGCACACAGTCTATTCTAACTGCTTAAACAAGGTGGTAATCTATTTAACACAGTTGGCAATAATGTATGAAACCACACAAGTAGAACTTGAATTTCTAGTAAGCACCCAGAAAAAGCACTGTTCATTTTCAGACCTGGCCCACATTTCCAGTTGAAGCTATAGTTACAGTTATGTTTGTAGCATCATTATTGAGGAAGAATCTCCCTTTGCCTAGTTAGTTAGTACATTGCTTTCTAGACTATTCTTGTTTCTGCCCAGTATGTTTGTTTATTATTAGTTTGAAACAAGATTTCACATAGTCTGTCTACGCTAGCTTTAAACTTACTATATAAATGAGGTTGGCTTTGAACTACTGATCCTCCTGTCCCTATCTCTCCTGGAATTACAGTACTGTGCCACTATGCCTTGCTTCTTATACAATTTTTATTTTATCACATATTACTCCAAAACCTATTGATTCCCCTTTGTTTACTATATCAAACTTAAACTCAGATTAGCATTTGAAACCCTTCTTTTCTTTCTTTCTTTCTTTCTTTCTTTCTTTCTTTCTTTCTTTCTTTCTTTCTTT